TGCTGGATAAGTTCGAGTACTCGCTTGGCGTCGGCGGTTCCACCGTTGACAGACATCTCAATGCGCCCGGAGCCGTGGAGAGCCTTTCGGTAAGTCAACGACCACCATCGTCCTTTGTCTGTCGTCAGTCCAAAGCGCTTTGGGTAACTTCGCACCTTGGGCACCTTGGCTAACGCATGTCTCCCCATCCACATCCACTTGCCTACATTCCCCAGTCGGCTCTCGCTGAAGCCTGCAAATACCTCACCAAAAGCGATTCCCTCATTCGCGCCGGCAAACTCGTCGTCGCCGTTGTAGATTACGCCACGGATAGAGGTAACACCGCTACCTTTTCCGCATTCGTGTCTGGTCTTGGCCCCTCCCTTTTCGCCCCCTTTGTCAATGTCCTCAAGCATGATCGCGAAGTCTCCTCCTGGTTCATCAGAGCTCTTGGCAAAATGCTTGGACACAAAGACGTCGGCCCCTTTGCGGATAACGCTGGTTGTATGGATGCGCTCGACGAGCAGAAAGCAAAATACGTCTCCGCCGTCACCAGCACGCTCGCCGCCATCACTGAGCATTGCATGCTCGCTCATAACGCAGAAGACACACCTGACATCAATGCGGGTCAGCAACTGTCGCCATCCATCACCGGCGAACTCGCCAGTGCTTCCAGCGCCCTTGGATACATCCCAACCGTGGCTGACATCACTGTGACTATGCCGCGCGGAGGCCAGTCGAATGCTGGAGATGAACAGCTTGGCCGAATTCTCGCAGGGCTTGCCGCCTTCCTTTCCACCGACAACAACCGTTTTGTTTTCTGCAAGGTCTGTGCGGCCTCTCCGGGCGGAACGCGCGGCACATCTGTACTGGCTGCGTTGCTGGACAAGGATGTTGGGCTCCCGGTGCAGGTTTACTACCAAACTGTGTTCTGCCTTTGGTTGCTTACATTCATGAATACGAACGAGGACACCAGCGTTGTTGACACTGTGTCGCAGGCCTTGGAGGAGGCGGCCGTCCCCCGGCGTTTGACAAACGTTCTACGCGAGGTATCGGCGGAAAAAGTTGTTCGCATCTCTCTGGCCACGCTGCGCAATATCTTGAAGATGTCTGTGACGTTGAGAAAGGAGATGGTGGGAGCTGGTCTTGTCGGGGCTCTGCATTCGCTCTGCTTCCGGAGGTGGAACGATGAAGACATTCGTGAGGATCTCGGTGTGCTGGCCGAGGCATTGGAATCCGAGCTCGCATCCATGAGCAACTTTGACGTTTACAGGGCGGAAGTCCTGTCCGGGGCCCTCGAGTGGACTCCAGCTCATCGAGATGAGATGTTCTGGAGAGAAAATGTAGAGAAGCTTGACCGCAACCAGCAAGAGGTTCTCCGTTGTCTGGTGCGCGTGCTACATGAATCTGGTGATGAGACCGTCCTTGCTGTGGCCTGCAATGATCTCGCCCAGTTTATCAAATTCCACCCTCGTGGTCGTGTCATTGCTCAATCACTTGGGGTCAAGGCTCGATTGATGGAGCTCATGGTATCAGGAGAAGGCGAAGTTCGTCGCTACGCTCTCAACTGTGTACAAGTACTAATGATCAGATGGAATCGCCAGGAGTCGTAGAGCGTTAACTGTCGTTGCTAACATTATTGTGCTTTTTGCCGTGTACTGTGACAACTTTGTTGTCATGTTGTGATTGATAACAATTTTATTTTGACCTCGGCAGCAGTAAAACTACAGTATAGTTTTTCGAGACACCTCTCATCGCGGCAACAACTTGCCTCTGCGCTACTGAGAAGTGTGAAGAATCGCGCGAATAACAAAGAGCAACTCTGATGCAAATGTTTGTCCGCTCACTCCCCGTCAACAGAAACCCAAAAGTCCAGTAAGATTATAGATACAGTCATTAGTTAAAAGTATTTTGCAGTATTGGTGGAAACGCCCATAAGAAAAATGCCTGGTGCAGGCATCAGAGAAGCAGTCCGAACTAGTAGCGACGAGCAATACGGCGGTTGTAGGGCAGTAGATTCGCCAGGCTAAGACGACTTCTCTTTGCACGCACTTTTGCGGCGAGTTCTTGTGACAGTTGTCCAATCGCCAGTGCTGACTTTTTGATGCCCTGTGGCCGAGGAGTCTTTATTTCCTTGGGCCGTTGTAGTCAAGTTGCCGTTCGCCATAGGCGAGGTCAAAGCGCTTGCCCTGTCTTCCGACTTGGTGCGCTTGCTCTTCTTCCGCTTTGCCGTGCCATTGGGGACTTCCATCATCCCATTTCGCGGCTTGGGCGGGCTAGTGTCCTCAGCAAGTGCCGGCTTAGTCAACACAAGGTCGTCAACAGGGTGCATCGCATCCTTCGTCATGCTGTTTGCATGCTGCGATGCGCGTTGCTTGTGCTCACGAGAGCCTTTTGCACCGTGTCGTGTATCGCTGCTGGGCGTGCTTTGCTTCTGGTTCTTGAAAATTTTGGTCGGGGCGTCACTGGAAGCCCCGATAAAGGCGCCGATAGCACCGAGATAGCCGTCATGTCTCAAGAACAGTGCCTTCATGCTCTCTTCCGACCAAAAGTCGACGGCAAAAGAAATATCGGCAATGGTATAGGGATGGTTTCTGATAAAGTTGCCGCCAAAGTATATGCGATCCAAGTTGTGCACACGGGCGTTCAGGTAGGCGATCTGGCCAATATTGTAGGAAACCATTCTCAGTAACGACAGGGCTATGTCCTGCTGGCGAAAAGTGGCGCTGAGATCCGTGGCGGTTACGGGTGCGCAGGGGCTGCGCGCGGGCATGAGAGTGCGGAGGATATCGCCGATGCAAGGCACGGCTTCAAAAAATGACATCCACAAGTCGAACGAGCCCTTGACCGCACGGGAGAAGCGGTCCTTCAAGTTATGCCACGAGAAGTTGGGAAGCTCGGGAGGGTCGTTACGCATAGTGGCCTTGCCGAACGAGGCGGCGATGACGCTGGAGTCGAGACCGAGGTTCGAGTACGCACCGCCATAAATATCACCGACAAGCATATCAACGTTTGCGTTGTCGCCGTCATGGGTGAGGCGGATGACATCATCAAAGGTGGCGCAGTCAAGCAGCATGCGCGCAAGTCCCCAAAATGTGCCGCCGCCTAGCGATGAGCCGCTGACACGCTCAAACTGGCCGTGACCAGTGACTTTGACGATGGAGACACCTGAGCCGATGTTGACGAGCAGATAAGGGAAGGGATGGCGGGTGGTGTCGACAAACTTGCGGGCAAAATCCGGGGCTGGCTCATGGACGGAATCGGATGGGGCAATGGTATGGGCGGGCTGTTTGTGTGGCGGGATGTACTCGTAGACCTCCTCCTTGACTGTGGTAAGGAGGAAGTTGAGGCCCGCAACGGTGCAGGACATCTCGTCGAGACGTGCGAGCGTGACGCCGATCTCATCGACAAAGGTGGATGCATACTTGTACGAGCCGCCGCCAGTGGCGCGGATGAGTGTGTGTGCGCCGGTGGAAGGGTGGCTCTCGTTGGCCCAATGGGAGCGGATGAAGCGAAGGAGCTGGTGGATGTTGCATGTCTCGAAGGCGAAGAAATGCAAGACGCCATTCAGTTCCGGGACATTGACGGAGAGGGCGGAGGCGACATTACCGTCGACGCGATGGATGAGGAGGGGGACGGTGGAATGGCGGGTGCCGAAGGGTTGGAGGTAGATGATTTTGGCGAGCGAGCCGCCGATGTCGAGGGCGAGGGCGGTGGATTCGGCGAGCAGGTTGACTTTGGAGAGGACGGCGAGGGCGGTGTCGACTTGGACGAGCTCCTCGGGTTGGGAAGTGGGGTTGGGGGAAGGGGAAGAAGGGGCGGAGGTCGGGGCCATAGATGCTGGAGCCATAGTGGATGGACTGCGTCGACGGGCCGGGGGAGGAGCGGGTGTGGCGGGTGCGGGCTTTGGTTAAGGAGCGGGAATGCGGGGGGAACGCGTGTGAAGATGATGTACACAATCAAAACAAAAGGAGCGAGTGGACGACCCAAAGGGATTTCTTCAAAACTTGTTCAAAACTTGATCATGATCCCGATGCGGAATATGGATCCCGATTTACATTATGGACGTGTATGATCGCGAAGGAGGATCCCCACTCCATTTTCCAGCCGGGCCCGCTCGCTGTATCCACCGACATGGAGGCACCATCTACCATAACAACCCCAAGAGTAGGGTTCAGTTGTGTCGTGCCAATGTACTGTCACAAGACATGACATAATTGCCTTACCGGTAAGTCTTCTCGTGCGGCACTGAGGTATGGAAAGGTAGATGCTGTAGGGTACCAAATGATCTTACAAAGCTTTTGATCGAAGACGCTTTGCCGCACAGTATACTTCTGAGGCCTTCAGCCACGGAACCTGCTGCAGTGTAAAAACAGTCAAAACTATAAAGCACTGGACGTTTGTCAATCAATCGCAGCTCAATTTGCAAGCCTTGAACTGTGTTGCAGGGGAACATCGTTTCTAGAAACGCGTTAGTAATGCAGGCTGCATGGTTGGAACACGTTCCAACCGTGCAATTTTAGAACAGAGAGACTCGTCCCTCCTATGTGAGACTAATCGCAGTTGTGGACACTTCACTAAACTTGTTGTTGGCAGTGCAGTCGTAGACACCTGCCAAACATCCCTCCACATCCGAACCAAGACATGCTCCTGATTTTATGCCTGCGCGGAAGTCACTCTCATATGAAGGCGTCCTCGTGTTCCGCCTCTCGCCTTAGCTGCCTCTCAACTTGGAAATCAGACTCCCGCTTGACGCTTTCGCGGGTAGATAAATTATAACCGTTCTTGTGGCACTATGCCGCGCGTTAGTCAGAGAGAGATAGATGGGCGAAGCATTAAGATGCAAGAGCTATGGTTCGAGCAACCGAAAGTATCTGAAACCTCAAAGCAAAGAATTTCATTATCGTCTTGGACGTGACTTCAAAGCAGTGATGCGGCTGGTCTGGTGTCCGCAAAAGTTGTACAGACTTGCAAAACCATGATATTTTCGTTACAATTCTCCAGGGTAAGTAGAGCCGCTACGGACGTAATCGAAAATCTTCCATGACAACAGGTCCTGTAGTCGGTACGAACCAATTCGGTGCAGCAGACGCAACGGAGCCATGGCCGAGCTTGCCACCAGTGGTTTGACCGCGGTTGTGAAGCACGAAACCCGCACACCACTGACTATGAGGTCTCCATTCAAGGAATGGGGATTGAAAAGCCCACTGCCTGTCACACTAGACACTTGTACCACGCGTTTCGGCAACCTATCTGCCCCGATGAGAAAGTCACCGACGGCAATATCGGCGGCCTTGAGGAGCATCGGCATAGAATCCTGTCCTCGGCGATACACGTAATGTCCAGGTGACACACGCAAGTTTCCTGTTTTCTCGCCGTCAGCATATTGAACGTGCACAAAACTCGCCACGGCATGCGGATCCGCGTGTGAGTGCATGAAGATTTCACTCGGCGTTTCTAGGTCGGTTGAAGCTACAGCATCATTCCGCGATATGCTTTCTATAGGTTGGCGACTCCCATCGGCCATAGTAACTAGCTCTCCGGCCGGGAAACACGCTCTCATCGACTCTTGGGACTCCTTAAAATCGTCGCTTCTGATATTCACTTCACCATACTGCTCCAGCTTCCCCGTAACTTGGGTGATTTCCATTGGTGGATCAGCCTCTGTATATTCTTCGACAAAGTACTCTGTGTCATTGTACCGACCTGATATCCATCCGACAAGGGCGCGAGAATCGATTCTGACAAACTCGCTAGCCTCATCCGTTTCGTTGCACATGTCCCTGCTATGTATGCCAACAAACCATCCGGGGCTCGGAACAAGTTGGGCAATACAGCTGATGAGTGAAAAGTCTGCTGAGATCTTAAGAATGAGATCTTCAGACTCGTCGTTTACCACCATATCCCTGATTGAGGCATTGTAGCTTAAGATATTGTCTTTGTCGGGTTCGATCTCATTCCGAAGTTTCTCATCAGAATTGTCGTCGTCCTGGTCAACAAATTTTTGGATAGCGGGTGAGGCAGTTCTTTGCGGTTTCCACATGACGTACTTGTCGTTGTGAGAGGCGCAATGCATGCGTCCAAACCCGACGGGTTCCTCGGGGGGTTGGCCGGGATCATTCTGAAGAGTCCATTCGTAGGTAAACGAGACGGTGTAATTAATGGTCCCCTTGCACTTAGCAGCGGCAGCTACGAAAAGGTGGTGTATGTAAAAGATGACAAGCAAGGTGACGTATGAATGACGAAAGGCACGGGTCGAAATAGCGCTGCGAAGAAGCATCATATCGAACGAAAACGAAGAAATTGGAATAAGAAATTAATGAGTGTGGTAGTGTGATGGAAAACGATAGGAGCGAGATGAAGACAGGTTGACAAGAAGACAAGACAGGCAGGCTAGGGGGCAAAGCTTAGATAGCAGCAATAGTTGAGAGTTGTGTTTGAGCAAGTGTTCGGTTGCGGGATGATAGCAAAGGCGTGGTGTAGTTTTCAGTGGCGGAAAGAAGGAAGCGATGTTGTTTGTTTGTCACTGCCCAACGAGCGGGTGGAGAGGGCGAGAGACGGTTTCTGTTCGTGACCAAAAATTGGCTCTGGAGGGGAGTTCAACGTCGTCAAGGCTGTGTCACCAAAAGACCGATAAAGGGCAGATGGCGTCCGGTGGTCAATGATGACGTCACAAGAAACGTCCAGGGGAACGAGACGGTTGTGACCGAGCCTACCGACACAAGAGAAATGTCGGGAGCGCTCCTCCCGACTCGACCGCTGTGCCGGATCACGTTTGGTAAAAAAGTTCATTGGTCGGCGCAACGCATTCGTCCCAAGCGATCAGGTGGACGGGCACTGGTGGACAGCTACTGGTGCCCGTGTACACGTGTGCACGTGTACAGGTTACACGATTTCTTTAAGATAAACATCCGCGACAACCCCAGCTTGCGGTGGGAATTGATCAGCGGGCATCAACATCTCCAGGACCTCTAGAGCCGCGTAAGGGTGGAAGAACGCCGTCCGCGTCTCCCCCGGATGCATGCCCAGGAGAACACTCTGCATTGCTGGTGTCAAACCGTTCATCCCTGCCTCGTAGAAATCCGGTTCTTTCTCATCCCCATCGGAAAAGTTCGGAAGAAACAGACAACGTCCATCTAGCAGTCTCACCCGCCATGCGAAGCGCACCGTTTGCGTCAAGTCTGCCGCCTTACTTCTGTCCCCACTCGCTTCAAAACTGCCGTTCACACTCAAAATATACCCGTCCCCTTGTGCATCTGAAACATCAGCCTCCGCTCGTAGCAGCTCGAAGAACCGATCGGCACTATCTAGATTCGACGTCCCGAGCACCGCTGTAGCACACGCTTCCAAATTACTGAACATCTTGTCATATTCCGCCACATCCATCGGGAATGACGCCTTCGGATCCCGTAACTTGTCTTTGAGAGCCTCCGAAAGCACCTTGCTGTCGAGCTCGAACGCAGTCAGCCGTACTGTACGCCCGAGCATATGTCCGTACATCTCGGAAAGCAATGACAACTGTTTTGGATCTGTTTGCTCTACCTTTGAGGACTCCTTTGCGGACTCCTTTGAGGATTCCTTTGAGGACCCTTTTACGGAGGCTAACCACTGCTCAAAAACAAAAGGAGGCAAGGGGAGGGGATCGTTTCGCCCTTCCGTGGCTGAGAAGCAAGCGCTTGCTAATCGTTCTACATCGAGCTTTACCGGGATTGTGTCAAGAATCGATTTCGCAAGCACGTGTCCATAAGCTCGAGCGATCAGTGGCATATCCACGTCGCGTGAGGCGGCCATGGCTGCTGTCCCTTTGGGCACAGAAAAGACGCACTTTCCGAATAGTGATTCCGCTCGAGCAATATCTTCTGTGAACAACGTCTTCGCACAGACAGGAACCGGATCTTTTCCCATCTGCACAATGATGCCCCGACATCTTCTTGATGATGTGATGAACCTTCGACTCGGGCGAATTGGACCAGAACGAAGAACTTTGCAAGGTCTGTAGCCGAGGTGCACAGCCGGCACAAAGGCCGGCCGCTGTGACCAGAGGTTTGCTGACGGGAACATCTCTCCCGGTTTAATAGGTATTGCTTGGTTGCTTCGGGATATCAGGATCTCATGCGAACGGTTGACAAAGAGAGAGCCCGTGTAGTATCCGGCTGCTGCTTGCTCGGAATGGCTTTTCGAGACGCGACGTGCTGGCACAGTCATGGAGATTGTGTCCAGTACCAGGGTACTGTAGGCTCAGCGTGTCCTGTGCTCAACGTGTACATGTGGGTGCTCGTACACGTGTGAGTAATAGAAGTCTCCGTCTGTGACCCAGCTAGACTGGCACTCAATGAGCTGATGTTGTAGTTCTGTGCCTGTAGCGGCATCCGGTCGCTCTACAGGCAATACCGGTTAGTCAATACCGTGTCAATATTTCATACACTGCTCTGTTGCGCGGGGGCTTCTGATTGCCTGCATCAAAGAAGAATTCACATAATCATAAACTTCAGAATGAAAAACACTGCTTGACATTTGATATCCCTTCTATATCGAGACTCTACAACTCTCACAGAGTTTTTTTTTGGCGCTTTCAGCTATACTATCAAACATCTATATAGGTAGGAATCTTGTGCTTGACAGGACTCTATATATGATGAAAAGCGCTCTGCGAAGAACAGTACTATGGTGCTTCGTAAAACGGCAATGACATTTTTTATTTGTTTCTACACAAAGCGATAGTTCATTTAATGCGGAAGTAACCAGCAGAACGGAAGCGATGTCGTCCACAAAACGCCACACGCAATACATTACATACCCTTTGCTTCCATAGAAACTTATGCGGTGCTGTACCACAGTACGATCAACTGCACAGATGACGACTGCTCATGACTTAGCATCATCCGTGAGGACATCTTTGACACTTTTTGAAGCCAAATCGGAGATACAACTTTGAGTAACAGAAGTGGGTATACACGGAGACAGAATCACATTCAGTGGGATGTGGTTGAAGGACAACAGCCAAGAATATTTTGGAGGCAGTAGTGCTTGTCAGTTCGTTCGTGGAGGTTCGTGCGAATGAAATCCCATCCCTATTGCTGCATCCTGGTGCTGAGAGTGCTTTTGCGAGACTGACGAGGAACTCAGGACTAATTCGCGTTAAACATGGAAGTAATTCATAGCAAGTAAGCCTCCAGGGTAAGGCGCGAATGGAAGATACTGTCAGGTGTTATCGACAGTCTTCAATGGCTCTAGCTAGGGACCTCCAATCCGTGTGAGTTTCTTACATGGAAATTTCCCTGTTCCCGATTCGGTTGCCGTCTTGATCTTGCGCTTGGAACAAGCGTCAATATTGGTGTGGAAAGGGACCCACCCAGCTGAAAAATCTCTAGGAAGGTCCCTGTGTAAGTTCATCAAGATGATTCAACAATCTACTTGACGGTAAAATGGTGTATGAGCTTCAGGACCGTTCTGGAGTTTTAAATGGCTAACGATGCCAATACTCTTCGGGGCCCAGTGAATGTCGCTCGACTGTGCTGCGCCATCATATTGTCAATGTACATAACGTCTCCTTGTCGCCACGGTACGGCGACTCGATGCGCGGCCATGACGTCCGCGACAATCTTCATTGCATCAGGGTCGAGTGGTGACCCATCCCCAGCCGTAATGCAGTTATTCGGCATATTGAATTCATCCCTCCAGCCACCCCACACAGCGAACAATTGATTGAAGAAACTCTTGCGACCGTCATCAGCGACGTGCACAGCCTTCAAAAGAGGGCTTATCTCCTTCAGCTTAGCATCTTCCCCGTCGTCAAGCCATTCCCAGTCGTATCCTTTTTCTCGTAACGCTATCTCTGCTTGCTCACGACTTCTAGCTGCAAAGGTTCCGCGCCACCCGCGCCCTATCGCAGAATGAGGCCGATCATCAGGCGTCATGACGCGTGAGTAGCGCACCCCTGTCGACTCGATTTTCTCTAAAAACTCAGGGCAGCGATGGCGGAGTTCGTCGTAAACAGCTGGGGAGTAAAGTACTGGAGTTTCTCCCCCACTCTCTGCAGGCCAAGCACAAAAGAATAAAAGCCTGCTCGGGAAGTTTGGAGTTTGCGCCAATTCATGATGAAAGGGGATAGGCTTCTCTGGTGGAGACTCATTCGCAGTAAAAACCCGGTCTCCGACTATTGCTGTACGAACAGCGTTTCCCCCTACATACGGAAAGTTTGGGAGACCAAGGCAGTCTTCTACAAACTCTGCAAAATGCTGCGGAGTTTCTTGCGAAAAGCCACGGAAAAGTAGAACAGAATGTTCGTTGAGTAACGAGTTTATGACCTGTTGATGTTGCTTTAGATAGGCATGAGCTTTGGCTGTGTCAGATGAAAGATGAGAAAGATGGGCAGGAGGCGAAACCACCAGTGGAAACAGCTTTCCGTTGTACTTCCGTGCTTGCGGCAGTGCTGGGTGCGAGAAAGGGGCAGTGTTCTCCTTTTCCTGCATTCTTCTTCTCGTTAGACACGGCGCAGCTCGATACTTGAGCAGACGTTCGCTTTGTATGTTTTGTAGACCCAAACCTCGACAAATATTTGAGGAAGAAACGGTGCTGGGTATTATTACTGTGGGGATGAAAAATTCGAGCTCGCTAGAAGGCTGGACTACTGGGCTTTAAAAGCAATAACTGGACGATTGTGCATACGCGCGAGGTTAAAAAATGGCCGAGTGGCAACGGAGTGAGTGGAACGACGCATGTCTGAAAGAGTGCCGTGCAGTATCACCCAGCACGGGGTCGCCAATCATTGGCTGTTATTAAAACAGGTTTGTATTATCTTTACAACAGCTCCTGCTCCAGTACACGTAGATCTTGTGGCTACTTGCCCCACTTGAAGAGTGCGTCACGTACCATGGGTACTGTACTGTACACGTGGAGAATATATCAGAAGCATTATTAGGGCGGCGGTGAGTTCATGGTTAGAGAGAGAGAGAGAGAGAGGTAAAAGACAAGAACGCAACTTCAACTCAAATAACGTGCATATGTCAGCGGAATTCACGCAGAAAGTAAAGACGCTCTTGTAATTACTGCAGCAATGCGGCGTAAGGGGGATTCAGCATTGCGAAGAATTACTAAATCGTTTGTGGCGGGGCAATGCAGAAATTGGCCGTGGAAAACGCCAGTGAATGAAGTTGACCATGTGAAGCATCTCCTGGAAGCCATGCTAGAGTTAAAACCACGTATAAGATGATCACATGTGCATGGTGGCCACAAGTGTCCGAATTCATTCTACACGGAAATACTTATTCATGCATTCATGGTGCTCATGGCCAGAAGCATCTACACTGCAAATAGGTACTTGGTTGTGCACAATCAGAGTATTTGATAAACTCAATTTGAAGAAGAAGATAGAAACAGTTGCTTCAGTAGTCTTCGGCGATTGGCACAAAACATGATTCATCCGCACCATCGCTGTGTTCGCAAGGTCACGTTCTAGTTTTCCAAGAGATTTCATTTTCAGTCTTCAGCTCTTCAATTGTAGTTGCAAGTCAGCAAGGAGCTCGTTATTACGAAAGGCTTAACCTTTATATTCAAATAATAAGTGAATGATTTATACTCTACAACTGAATTAAATAGGGTCCAAAAATTTCCATGTATCTTCTTCTGAAGCCGCGGTCATACTTAATGACATACCACACGCATATTCGTGGATTTTGGTGGCTTTAGAAGGAATGATGAACTTGTTACATTCACTACGCATCTGATGCCTGGGTAAAGGACAAAGCGAACATATTAATCCATCCTTCACATGCATAAACTTTTCATTCTTTTAATTTGTGCCAATCAAGCCTGACTATCAACACTGTTGTTCATCTTTAAATGATCCTCCTTGCAAAATGCAGTTAAAGAGATGGAGAGGCAAGAGCGGCACCAGTGGCGAAGCCAGGGCCCGCCATGCCGAGAACAGAACCGACACCCTCGAGAGAAGAGGAAGCGATGCCAGCGTCCTTGTCAGCGGCCGCACCAGCGGTGGTAGTACCTTCGGCCTGGAAGCCACTGCCGGAGGAGAGTAATCCGCTGACGGTAGCACGGGAGACCGGGGCGGCAGCGGCAGCGGCGATGAGGGCGAAGATGGCGGCGATCTTGGCAATCATTTCTGGAGTTGTGGGGGTGTTTGAAAGGAGAAGAACAAAGAAGAGAGTTTGAGCTGTGAGATGGAGAAACGAAATGAAAAGGAAAAGGAATCCCCTGGTTATATTCTACTTTGAGAGAATCGTAAGTGGCGAAATAACTGTGATACACAAGCCGACTTGCACTAACATGGAGCGCTCAAGGTCGTGACTTCCAAAGAACATTTTAAGGGACATGACGTTGAAGTTTTTTTGCGGGACGCAAATCTACTTCTGAATATGTGAAACACTGTAGGAATAAATAGGGGCAGAGTGGGGCGGAATGTCATGGTAATGTGATATTGAATCAAAGTTACGTAGTTGCCCATCACACTGAACAGAATGCTGGGACCTCCGAATACGAATTCACCATTTGAAAAGGAATATGGCGCTAGTGAGTTCTGGGTCCTGCCACGCCACAAGGCTTTACAGAGATTGCCTGAAAAACAGAACATGTTAATGTTGATTTTCAGGAAAGCCAGAATGGCACTATGCCCCTTCACAACATTTTGCTACATCCAATTCGGTGTTTCAGTACGTGATGGCGAGTAGTTCTCTTCGAAGCACCACAGTTTGTCCTTCTTTTTTGTCAAATTTAGCAAGTTAAGCCATGGACATAAACAAGAAAACCATTACAGAGCGAGAGAAGAATGAAAGAATCAAACGGGACAGCCTATGAGAAGAGCAATGCTTCTTTTCTATTATAATTATTGCGGCAGCAACCGTTTGTGGATAACAAGGATGCCGGAACCGTGTTGTGAGAATCCCCACTATGGTGAAAGGTCTTCTCTACAACGGGAGTGGAATTGGAAATTTTGAATTTATCAATTCCCAACTGCCAAACATACTTTCTCCATGAAGAAAGGGCAGATGAAGTTTGCTTGAAGCGTACACACAAATAAAAACGCGAAGAGCTTGCGTGTATCCTACTAGAGATAAAACTCTTTAGATAAAATACAGAGATGTTTTGCAAATACATAATTTTTGGAAATACGGAAATGGCTGTCGGAGTTCTGTTTACTCATATTAGCACAACAACACTATCAGCAGTTGCTCACGATCTGCACAAGTAACAAAAGGTTACTATAATGGCCAGCGGCGAAGGAGACAGATCGCTTTAGGGTCTCGCCTTTTATTATTGCTTGTGACTTACAGAGGCGCTCAGGTTATGTTGGTTAAAGACAATTTAGAAAATTTCCGTAGACCTATGATGAAGGAATACCATAGAACGCAGGGCCCCTGTTGATATGTACGGCGATGCGTGTGTGTTAATAGTATGAATAACATGTCTTAACTTATGTATAGAGGAATTAGGCAACAGGTTTTAGCCAGGCAAGAAATAATGGAGAAGAAAGGAGCCAGGCTGCAGAGGAATTTGTAGTCGCGCTTGTCGCAATACTACTGCGCCTGTGATGAATTCACCATCACTGAGTCTCTGAATTAGTATTGTTTGCGGATGACCACATGATTGCTTCCTCCTGGGCTTTCAAAAAAGCCTTGTGAAGTTGCTGAAGAAGCGCCTATGGAGGTCCAAAATGCTTCCCCACGTCGTCTTCTGAAAACCTTAAGCGTTCCTTTCATGTAAACCTCCTGACCTGGTGCTCGTCGGATTGAATAAGATGTCGATATCACGTCGAAAAAAAAAAAAAAAAACAGTTCGTCCCGCCATTCGTCCCGCCATTCCTCCAAACATGAAGCTCAGCCTATCTCTTTTCTCAGCACCTGTTGGCTTTGTTATATATTGTCATATATACTGTAGCCTGACATATCAGGAGTTGAGCGTACACTTTTGTTGGTGCACATGGCATGTGATGGTTGGTGTAGAAGCTGGGAGGGCTGGGAAATTCCATTGGTTGTTGGTTCCCGAGACATAAACAACAAAATTAAATGGAAAGAATTACTTGATTTGGCGGTTTAGGGCAAAGTCGCCGCCGACGTCCCAGGGAAATCATACGGCACCGCAGTGGCGCAACCAGAGGCGCCATTGCCCGCCCGCCGTCATCAACGTACCAGCTCGTCCAACAGCCAACTTACCATCCCCGTCGTTGATTACCCGCTTGTCCATCGACGTGCCGCAGCACGCCTCGTCAAGAAGCATGACTACCGGAGAGATGACGTCCGCGATTGCGAAGAAGAATAGCGCAAATGTTATGCGCGAGCTCAAAGTCCACAAGCTCGTTCTCAACATCTGTGTCGGTGAATCCGGTGATCGTCTCACACGTGCCGGTCGTGTCTTGGAGCAGCTTACTGGCCAGACACCCGTCTTTTCCAAGTCTCGCTTGACAATTAGGACCTTCGGCATCCGTCGAAATGAGAAGATCGCCACTCATGTTACTGTGCGAGGCCCGAAAGCTGAGGAGATTTTGGAGCGTGGCTTGAAAGTCAAGGAGTTTGAATTGAAAGAACGAAACTTCAGCGGTGGTGGGTCCTCGAGTGCCGGTGCCGGTGGCTTTGGATTTGGAATCAACGAGCATATTGATCTTGGTCTTAAGTACGACCCGACCACGGGTATCTACGGTATGGATTTCTACATCGTGCTCAAGCGAGCTGGCAACCGCGTCTCGAAGCGCCGCCGCGCCCCATCCAGTATCGGCAAGTTCCAGACAGTGTCGAAGGACGATGCCATTAAGTGGTTCCAGACCAAGTACGACGGCTTGGTATTGTAACTGTGCAAATAAACTTGATTGGCGTAGCTATCGTTTGAGAGTCTTGAAGTAATACTCGTGTCGCAGCGGAGTGAGAATTTTGACGCTGTGGCACGCCGAGCGATCGATACTATAGTGCTTCTGGGAAACGTCCGCACTGGGAGAGGAAGTAGTAGGATACGAGAATGATATTAGGTCTATGTAACTTGGGTTGGGGAATGACGGCTGCAGTTGCTTCCAAGGATTCCTCTGCCTCTCGCAACAGCAATCGTGCCTTATAGAGTAGAAATAGAGGATTTTCAGCCGTGAGAATGTTACACATAACAACCGGACCTCACAGCGCTACAGACACTCTAAACTTTTGCAGTGTCAACGCCATGGTGCATCTACGCTACCTTGGTGACAGCTCACTTCCGTTGCTGTCGACGCAGCCTCCGGGCTAGGACGGTCAGCATTCCGTCCGAAGCATCCATCCGATACTCGGTTTTGAGTAGGCCTTGCTGTGTCCCAAACGTATTCGAGCCCACCGCTCAGGAGCAGCCCATCAACATATGTAAAGGTCGGACTCGCTTATGAATCTACAGCATAGCAGAGCTGCGGGACGGGCGCGCCTGCGACTGGGCATTCGATGAGATTTTTTGTGTCCGGCGTCCCGCAGCATGTACTTTTTATGGGAAAGAATGCATGAATCACCCAGACTCGGCGAAATCCCGTCGTTGTGTGCGTGCAGCTCGCGGAGCGAAGAACCATACGTAGAGTGGAACAACAGTCACGCTGTCAACCAATTGACGCTCGTCAGTTCTTGGTGTCTCAGTTGCGAGGACTCCAGTGTGTGTATGTCGTACATTTGTTTAATGAAACAAGTAAATACGGGCTGGATGGAATAAATGTATTCTCCTGGACAACTTGGAGAAAGGTTTAGAAGCTCTTTCCATGAGATTTTCGTGAGGAATTACTCGTTCTCATTGGCTTCATACCGCACGAAGGGTACAGTGGGTACCCCTCAGAATTGATTTGATCTTCGTGAGTAAAAATTCATGCATTTATTGCCAGGCTGCTCACCTCTTTAAAGGTACTTTTGGCATCGTCGTCGTCCCGTATACTCTTCTTCCCCTTTTCGTATCGCACCATTTCACAAACCCTGCTCGCATTGCAGTGTTGCTAGCGTTCTGTAAATATCTGAAGACCTCTGCATTTCTCAGCAAACACTCTCGGTTTTGCTGCCTAGCCAGGTAATTGAGTCGCAAAAGCTCACTTCACATTCTGTTGGTGTTGGAAAAAAGCACCATTTGTCTTACTGACCTTCTGGAACGTTTCGGGAGCCTGCGCCACCGCCAAGATGAAGAAGAAAGTCGACCCGCGAATTCGCCAGTGCCTGCAGGAAGGCGTCAATAACAACCACCGCTCTCTCATCGTTTTGGTTGGTGACAAGGGACGTGATCAAGTTGTCAACTTGCACTACATGCTCTCCAAAATGACCCTCCAATCGAGGCCATCTGTGCTGTGGTGTTACAAGCACGAATTGGGCTTTAGCTCGAACAAGAAGAAGCGCATGAAGATCATTAAGAAGCGCATTAAGCAAGGATTGGTTGACCCCAACAGAGACGACCCATTTGAGCTTTTCATCTCCTCCACCTCTATTCGATTTGCATACTACTCTGAATCTCACAAAATACTGGGAAACACGTATGGGATGTGCGTCTTGCAAGACTTCGAGGCACTTACTCCAAATTTACTCGCGCGCACTTTGGAGACGGTTCAAGGAGGTGGGCTAGCTGTCATCCTCATTAACAACATGTCCTCTCTGAAAAAGCTATATTCCATCACCATGGATGTCCATGCTCGTTTGCGCACTGAGGCTCACAGAAAAGTGGTGCCAAGATTTAATGAGAGGTTCATTCTATCTCTCGCAGACTGCCCTGCAGCCATCGTCGCTGACGATGAGTTGAACGTCCTCCCCATATCTTCTCATGTTAGAGCGATGTCGGGTGAAGTGACCTCAACAGCGAACCGACCCACCACGGAAAACGAACCTGAACTGAAGGAGCTGAAGGAGTCTCTAGCTGATACACCGCCCATTGGGCCGCTTATTGCAAAGGCGAAAACCTTAGACCAAGCCAAAGCGTTGTTGCGTTTCGAAGAGGCAATTTCAGAGAAAACTCTGCGGAGCACCGTCGCACTGACTGCGTCCCGTGGAAGAGGAAAGTCAGCGGCCCTTGGGTTGGCGGTTGCTGCAGCCGTAGCTCACGACTACGCCAACATTTTTGTCACCTCCCCATCACCCGAAAATCTTCGAACTTTCTTCGCCTTCTTGTTTGTTGGTTTTGATGCCATGGATTACCAAGAGCATACAGACTATGAAATTATACAGAGCACAGATTCTGGCTTGAACAATGCCATCGTACGAGTGAACGTTTTCCGAAGTCACCGTCAGACTATTCAGTATATAGATCCAATTGATGCGCCTCGCTCTCTTTCACAAGCCGAGTTGCTGGTGATTGATGAAGCGGCGGCGATTCCGTTGCCAGTGATCGAGTCTATGCTTGGTCCATATCTTGTATTCATGTGCAGTACAATCACCGGATATGAAGGAACGGGACGCAGCTTGTCGTTGAAGCTGATGACAAAATTACGAGAAGGGAGTGCTCGAGTACCGTCACAATACAAGGGAGTCAATGGAAATTCCAATCGTCAATCTGATAGAGACGCTGCAGCTGTGTCCTCCCGAACTGGATCCGGCCGTGTCTTCAGGGAGGTCCAGATGGAAATTCCGATTCGATATGGACAGAAGGACCCAGTTGAGGCCTGGCTTTACGATCTGCTTTGCCTTGAAGCTGGTGGGGTACGACAGGTTCTTACCGGTGGTGCTCCACACCCTGAAGAATGCGAATTGTATTACGTTGAGAGGGATGCCCTTTTCTCTAGACACAGTGCGTCAGAAGCCTTTCTACATCGTATCATGGCTTTGTTCGTCTCGTCACATTACAAGAATTCACCAAACGATTTGCAGATGCTATCGGACGCTCCTGCTCATGGATTATTTGTCTTACTGGCACCCACAAGACCTGACACTGAGCGTTTACCTGATGTTCTGTGTGCTATCCAGGTCTGCCTGGAGGGCAAGATATCATCGAAGAGCTCAAAGACGCAGCTATCTCGAGGGCAGAGGGCTTCTGGTGACCTGATACCATGGACGATTAGTCAACAGTTTCAAGAACCTGACTTTGCCACATTGTCAGGTGCGAGGGTTGTTCGAGTAGCCACGCATCCGGACGTTCAAAAGATGGGATACGGGACTCGAGCATTGAAATTGTTGCTTGAATATTACAAAGGTGAACATAACATATCCCTCGAGAACAACGCTGTTGAACGGCTCTCAGAGCAAAATCCGCCTGCTGGCCAAGAAAATGGCTATACAGATAGTGAACAGGGCGATGCAGATCAGCAGAAGAAAACTCTTCTGAATGAAATCATTGGGCCCCGAAAGAATATCCCACCTCTATTGCGCCGTCTACACGAGCGTTCAGCGGAGAATTTAGACTACCTTGGAGTCTCATATGGTGTTACGCAAGGTTTGTATAGCTTCTGGAGTCGCCTTGGCTTCATGCCGTTGTACTTGCGATTGACGCCCAATGACTTGACTGGAGAGCACACATGCATCATGGCGACAACCTCTGTGTGTTCATCGGAAGAGACCAAGCCCTCGGACTGGTTGTCAAAATTCAATCAGGACTTTAGACGTCGCTTTGTGCACTTGCTGGGTTACGATTTCCGTTCACTTCCCCCCGGTCTTGCCCTTGCGATCTTGAACACAGGCGCTGAATTCCGGGAGTCTGGAGATGCTGAAGAGCGCAGCTCAATTGACGAGATCAAGGGTCTGTTCACGCCCTACGACAGGCGGCGGTTGGAGTCTTATTCGCGAAGTCTAATCGACTATCACGTGATTCTTGACATGATTCCAAAGTTGGCCGAGTTGTACGGCACTGGGAGCCTCGGGTTACGAGACGGGCTTCGATTGTCACCTGCGCAGAATGCCGTGTTGATGGGCATTGGTCTACAGAGATGTTCAGTTGATGACCTTGAAAAACGTCTGGGTATCCAGGCGTCGCAAGTACTTGCTCTGCTCAACAAGGTCATTCGAAAGATGTCAACGTTCCTCCGCGACATGGAGGAAACGGATATCGCCTCACGGATAGGACAGACGCAAGGGGCTAGGGGGATGATTCCAGGTGTTACAATTGAGTTACCGAACTCGAACAAGGCTGAGTTCGCCGCCTTATCGACAGACGACCCATCCGATGAGAAAGGGACGCCGGGCAAATCCTTAAAGGCTGAGGAAGATGGTGCCGGCGCGACGGAGAAGGGGACCCGGATGTCGAATTTCAAAGTCGGCGGATCGAAGGATGAGTGGAAAGCGGCTTTACCAAAAAACGCACTGGCAGACGGTATCCCGTCGACGGTCAGCATCAAGAGCGGAAAGAAAAAATCGAAACGAAAGACGATTTCAGAGTCAAAGGATGTAGGAACGCCTCGAAAGAGGAAGAAAAAGCAAGTCAAGTAAAGCACTCTTGCCGTTAAGATTACTGGTGAGGCACTGGTTGCAAGGGGTCTCTTTATTATCCTTTTCGCACCACCAGGATATCTACCGTCACGTGTGTATCTATAGAACTCATAGAACTCATTCGAATTTACTAGTAGTATACGGTAATGCAGCCAGTTAAACGAGAGGACATGAGCATGAACGCCACTACAATTCGTTCGCGACAGGCTGTATGGAGAGTGGTGCAGCAAAGTGACGGACCAGGTCTGGCTCTTGCTGCGTAGATGTAGTGTACAGATGGGAGTGGGCTCACAAGGCACGCAAACTCTATGCCACGACGTGCTTCACGTCCCATACTTGTCGCATGGCACGGGGCAATACGTACCGTCGCTCTTCCGGGCCTGCTGCGCGATGGCACTGTGAGCGCGGCGTCGGCGGCGCCAAAAAAAAAGAACAAACACAAAGAGCAAGGGTAAGCGAGCTGCGGCTCCGGCGAGTTGGACGGCGTGTCATGATTCGGCGGAGTCATCGGTATCGGAGGCAAAGGTGTTTAGCGACCTGACAATCTCGGCATGAGGTGCCTCGAAGCAGTCAAAAAAGATGACGTTGACGCGCTCACTCATATGCTGAGTGTGGTCGTTCAAAAACGGGGAAAAGCGGCGATTCATCTTGACGGCCTCCTGCTTGACGCCGGGGCTCAGGGTGCCGAGCGAGAGGACGCGGAAGGCGATGTCCAGGACGGAGGGGGTGACGGTCCAGCCCAGGACGAAGAGGTTGTTACGCAGGGGGTGGGGCTTGGTGGCGGCCAGCGTGCGCGACAGGAAGGCGATCTTCTCGTCGGCCGAGTTGGTGTCCAGCCACGGGTCCTGGCCCCAGGCGACGTCCAGGCGGTAGCCGCGCAAGCCGGCGATGACGTTGCGCGGGAGGTCGCTGAGCGGGACGGTGCGCAGGTCGTCGGAGGAGCCGCGGAAGTAGGGGTGGCGCAGCTCGGCGAGGACGTAGTCGGCTAGCTGGCGCTCCTCCTCTTCATCTAGCAGGTAGGCGCGGAAGACGGTGACGACGGTGACACAGGTGTGGGCGGCGGTCTCGTCGTGGAATTGGTTGATCTGTCGGATGACGTCGGCGAGCGGGACGCAGAGGACCATGCCGTGGATGGTCCAGAAGGTGTCATCCTGCGAGGTGTGCGGGCGCTTGGAGACGCGGATGTCCAGGAAGCGGGCGCCGGCGCGCAGCTGCGAGAGAATGTCGAGGTTCTGCGTGAGGGCAAAGTCGGACTGGACGGAGGCGAAGGCGCGGCGGATGGGGCGCACGCGTAGGGGGAGGACGGTGGAGCGGGAGACGAGGTCCGGACGGGTGTAGTAGGCGGCCGAGTCGTGCGTGCCGGGGAGGACGAGGTCGTACAGGCTTTGGTGCGAGGCGGACGAGCCGGGCGGGGCCAGCGAGACGGGCGCGAAAAGGGGGTGGGCGGTAACGGGGCCGGGCGGGGTGGAGGAGC